CTTCTTTGCAAGTACTTTTCACATATTTAAAGATTCCTCTGCCCCCAGTTTTCTCTGTTCTTGACATCATTTATGTCTTGACACTGAACTAAAGTACTAGTAAAGTGGTACTAGTAGGATTTATGTAGAGTTCACTTCCCTCACCTACCCCTTCAAGGGCCACAGTAACCTCGGTGGTCCACTGACTCCATGATGGCAAGGATATGTCTTGCTCTCCCCCGTCTAATTTCAAGTGAGCATTCCCAACTCATTTTGTCCTTCCTGGAGAGGGTTAAGTTTGATTGTTTCTGTCACTCTTTTATGGATACTAACTGGTTCACAGCTTTCGAATACATGATATCCACATTCAATTGTAATAGTCTGGGGGCTCATTAGCCAATTTTTACAAGTGTAATGTAGTTTTTTTACTCATATCTGCATTTTTTTCTTTGCTTGCCAATTTCATTGTCATTCTATGCTTTCTTATTTCTTCACAGTGATAACTTCATAATTTCTGCCAAGTGTTAAACAGAAATCCAGCCTTTTTTTTTTTTTTTTTTTGAATGTACTGAAATATGTTTAAGGATCTTGTGGTTATGCTTAACACAGAACACTTCACAGAACTATACATTATACCACAAAATTGTTCTTAACATGCTAATCTGAAACATATTTGTCTTTAGATTAGTTCATAAAGAGAGAGGAAAGAAGATATTTAGCTCCAGACAGCACTTGCAATAGAAATCAGTTATTTCTGTACAGTATCTTTCTTTGAAATATCACTAAATGATTTCCAGAGAGAGGAAGAATGTAATTTAATGATCACTTGCACAGCTCAAAAACCTTTCATCAGAGCATCTCAAAGCATTTCAGACAAGCCTGAAAGCTTGTCTGTTTTTCCCCAGCTATTTCAGTTGGCCTAATAAAAGATACTGTGTCTTCCTACACACCTTGTATTGTTTAGCACTCAAAGCATTATCATACTTGTTTTACAGATAACTGAAAGGGGCACAAAGAATCCACGTAGTTTTATTTCTTCAGTGAATCTGAGATGAACTCTGTGGGGTCCCATTTTCACTGAGTCTCCTGGAATTGCAGAGTACATGATCTCAGATTACAGGCAGACATGAAGCAAAATCTTCATCCCACTGACATCAGTGGCAAAATTCCCATTGATCTGAATAAGGCTGAAATTGTGTCCTAGCTTTTCTAGCTGCTGCCTGCCAAAATCGACTTCAGACCTGTGCATCCTTCCTGTCTTCTGCATCACCGTTAGTAATGAAGGTTCTGCGGTCCATGCGCTGTATCTGCCATTTCACTCTCAGTAAGTGATCAAGGCAAATATAAATGAGGAATGAGAGACCCCAGCAACAGGAGGAGGTCTGCACAGTGAGTGTGTGGTGTGTGGTTAGCAGTCTCCTTGCAGTCACTGCAGATAGATGCATCTGCCTGCACGTACTCTGTGCTGACAAAAGGAGCCATACATGAAGAGCCATTTGGATCGGCTGTCCTTGCTCATGAGTGTCCCAGGTTGCAAGTGTGCAACCACAAAGACACCACCACAAAGACTATGTCAGGTCTCTACTGTCATGTCTGACCTCTTTAATTAAAGGACAGTCTAACCATTTTAAAACAATCTAGCAAGTCTCTTCCAACTTCATTTTTACTTAGTTAATGCTGTGGATTTGGGCATGCAGCACCAGATGCACCCAAAGAAATTGTTGTCTTAAGGAATTAGAGTCTTAAAAGAATGATCAATAAGTCTTTTTACTATAATATCCATGGAGTATGCACTTTCATCAGAAGCCATATTTTACCACAGAAATATAAGCACTTTAAAATACAGATTACAGAAAGGAACACAAAGGGAGAAAATGCCATGTATGGATGTCTGCTTCTGCTGTTGAGGATAGCTGAATGAAAGAAAGAGGTGCTGATGAGAGAAAGAGTATGTGTTCATTGTCACTCCCTGTACTGTCAATTTGTCCCTTGCTGCATGGGTCTTCTCAAGCTTGATGGGGGTGCAGCCATCCAGTTTTGCTTATTTTCTAGCAAAATGCTCACTAAATCCTCTCGCTGTTGTGCTAGACTGAGAACAGAAAGCTTTTGCACATCTGGCATTTGTTATCTTCAGCTGCTTTTCCTCTTTCATAGGTATTTCGAGCAATGGATAAGCTAGAGGAAAGTTGCTGTGTTTTTCATGCCACCAGTTTCCATTTGAAGGTAAAGAACACCAAACAGACGAGGTCTGAGAGTAAATTCTAGTCTCATAGAAACATTCTCATTTCTTTTTGGCTAAATTAAGTGTTGGTCTTTCTATGTACATCTTGTATTACAAGCCACTCGCAAATCTTTATATCTGATCATTCTTTCATTGTGTTGGAAAACAATATGAGGGAGTTTCTTTCCATACTAGATCTTTGTGGGTAACTTGCTAGTAAACTAATTTTACATGACTCAGATTTAAATAATAAAAAGGCTTAACTCCAGTCTGAGAAGAGTTTATTGTCTACAACTGTAGCCTAGAGACAAACTCCAGCACCTTTGGGACTCAGCTGAGGCAGCAATTAGGCAGCATTTTATTGTGATGCAGTGAGTGCGCAAAAGATGAAGCTGGACTACTCTCAAGAGCTTAGAAACAAAATTGGCTTCCTGGAGAGAGAACATAAGAAATCTGGCAACCTAAAAATATTTAAAGAGCTTAGGGCTCCCAGGGGAGAATTTCAAGCTATTGAAGTGGAAAAGACTAAGCATTTGCTAAGATTGAAAAAAAAAAAGGGGGGGGGGGGGTTCATGAAAAATGACAAAGTGGGGTTTTTTTTACTGTAGCATGTTTCAAAGGGGAAAATATAATAAACCTGAAATCAATCAGTAGCACAGACTTCAATGCAGTGTTCCAAATCAAACAGCCCTGTCTTGAAAACAGGAGTCAAAAGAGAATTTTTTTTCATTTCAGAATTGTAAGGGATTGAGGCCAAGAAACCATTAAATGAGGTGAAAGGTCTAGGCTAGAGGGCATCTTGAGCAAGTCTAATGAAGTCATGGTTGCTTCAGCAGCCACGTTCCCAAAGGGTTTTGCTGTGTCTGTCACTGTGTTTCTCTGTTCCTCTGCATCTGGCTTCCTGGCCTCTGCAGTTACGTGCCAGAATGTGCCCCACCAGGCACCCTAAGAAGCTCCCTTCCAGCAGCCCCATAATATGTAACATCCCTGTGTCAAAACTAAGATGTACAAAATGTGATTGATCTTGCCCATCATTTGGTGTGTGTCGTACAGGCATTTACCTGTGAGCTAGTCATGCTTGACTCCATATATTGTCAGCAGGGAGAAGCAGGAGCTCATGAGACACAATTTAGCTCAACTGAGCGTAAATTTCTATCAAAAGTGTCTGTTTCTCTCTGACTTAAAACGGCATCCTAGGGTGACTAACTCCCAAGTGGACACCTACCATTTAAACCTCTGCATTTGTTCAATGAACTCTACCCACATAACTGGCACTGCCCCAGTGCACACTACATATCAGAGGTTTCTCTGCTGTGTTCAGGCCCTGCCTTCACGCAACCTGTATCTAGGACTAAGATGAGTTGGCTGGAACAGTTTAGCTTATGTCCCAACAGTAATAAGAGGGCTAGCGGATGTAGAGTGTTTACCTTAGTGGAGCCTCTTCCCTTTCTTGCCACTGTTCCTCTGCATTATGCTGACAGCCCTGTCTACATCACTGCTCCAGCCAGGTTTTGGGGCTGAGGGGCAGCTGTAAGGTAAGAAGGGAGGGGTTGGATGGGGGACACCGCAGAATGGAAATGAAGGAGGCTGGTGGAGGGAAGGAAGCAACATGGGGAAGGGCCACGATGCTCTATATGCAAAGTAATACCCCAATCTGTCTCTTGGGCATTCCCAGGGCAGTGCAGGTTGCAGTCCTGAGCTCTGCATGTGTAAAGCAATTAAGGGATAGATCACCCACGATCTCCACCTGGGTCCTGGAGCAAGAGCACCTGGGGCTGTACTGCAGGTAGAGAGAGCATGCTGCATGTTATGGCTCTGGCATGAAATAAACCCTACCACACACATCCTAACTGCATCTGGTACTACTGCCCTGCCTCAGCCACCTATTCCCGTGATTTCATATGTCAGAGGCAAACCCATCAAATGACAAAAGAAACCCCAAAAGATTTCTGAAGGATTCCTGCCCCAAGGGCAGAGCCAAGTGACTTATCAAAAAGGAAAGTCTTGCTCTGCTCTTCTGCACCTGAGAAAACCTCATGTGTACAAACTTTTGATGTCTCTGTTGACTGACAAAACTAAACTGGCAGGCATAACTATGGACTGATTTTTAAATAGTCCCCTGAGGATTACCCATTCTGTGCTGAAGGTACTCAGTTCCTTCTCATAGTTCTGAGGCATTCCTTTAATGTATTTAATGTCATAGGCTTTCCATATGGTTGTTGTGTTGCTAGTTTGGAAGTTTTATGATCTCTAGCTGCGATTTGCAGAACAGACAAGGTTTGTTGCTCTTATCACTGATGCATCAGTCTAAAGGCCTGGTGTGAGTGAGCTGCCCAGTACAGAAGGCTTTGTTGAGCCCTAAACACAGTGTTGTACATATTGTAAAGCCATCCTGCTCACCCTGCTCTTGGTTGTTGGTAAATTTCCCAGAATTCATGTCTTTTGTGTGCCAGAAATTAGGGTTACAATAAACATCAGGGAAAAGGACAGCATTATCTTCTCTGAAATGCACCAGCATAGCAGCAAATTTCTGGACACACCATTCATAGACCAGGAAGCAAAGCACTGGCTGGTGTGCAAATGTAACAGCAAACACAGCATTCCCTGGAGAGGGGCTGAGCTGTAATGTGCAGAGACAATATGGGGCAGTTCTGGATGAACAGAGGACATGCGTATCTCAGCGTGCTGCAGACAGCTGTGGCTCTGGTATTGCATGGTGCAAGGCCAGATATATATTTAAGGCATTTCCTGCTTCATCACTGTCTGCTAGGAACACGATACACTTTCTCTGTATGCCCAGAAGACCTAGAGAGGGGGAATCGCACCCTATGCCCAGGACCTGTGTGGAAGGGTTCCATGGTCACTGCTGTGTCAGTGATGAGTATCAGTGCACACTGCATGGCACCCCACAATGCTGAAGAGGAGACAGTGCTGAGGACCTGCTCAAATACACCTATCCCAGACCTCACCTGCTTTGTGCTGGAGATCCTGTCACTTTGCTGAAGTGATGTAGAGGAGAAAAAACGTGATGGAGGTCAAGTTCAGCAATACACGGCAATACACAGTCTGGACTATGAAGGGAGGTGGGTATACCTTAAATGAGTTTTGTTGTTCACAGCGGCGATCTGCAGCCTCAGACTCAGGGCCTTACGGTAGGAATTCAGAGCCTGTATCCTTCTACAGTACACCCTTTGTTGCTAGATGAGCATTCACAGACAAAGCACATTTTGCAGCAAGACTTGAAAGAAGCAGGTATAATCCATTGTCATATTGCTAGGTGACAAGAAAGTAAATGTTTTTATGCCTACCAAGGTGTGACTAGCTTGTCAGTTATGTAACCCACTTGTTCATGCTGTTGTCATGATCAAAAGACCTTACACAGCTTCTTGGCCCTTGGAAGTCCTAAAGGTTTGGGCTACATTGCACTAACATGATGCATACCTATAGAAAGGTTGGAGCATTTTCTATGAACTTTTCTTGTGGCCATAATTTGCTGTTCTTAGATTAGATTCTCAAATCTGCAATGTGCAGAGATTTAAAAACAAACAGACTCTTTTGAAAGTCTTTTTTTAACTTTATAATTGCATACTTAATGAACAGTTCACCCAAAACAGAGTTTATTTTATAGTAGAGTTGTGGTAGGGGATCAGATGTTTAAAGTGTCAGGTCAGAACAGATTAGTTTAGGACACACATCACACACTTTAGAAACACCCGTAGCACTTTGTACTCTTGTTGAGATGTGCTGTATCATCTCAAAGTGTTCTATGAACAAGTAGTTGTGCCTCTGCCATAAGAGATATCAGTATTACTCCCATTATGGACAGGAAAAGGGAAGACAAAAGGAACATGGATTTGTCTCTTGTCAGTGGCAGAGCTGGGATTGGATTCACTTGTCCTGATTTTTTGCTCTAAGCACCAGCGTTGTTTCTCAGGTGTTATCTCACTGGTGAACAGTGAGGCAGGAAGCAGAGCAAAGCCTTATGAGGCAAATGTTCATCTCAAAGTAGATTAATGCTAATGGAACTTGAGTAGCTGCTTGGAAATTACTACAGGTTGACACTTCGGTAATGTCAGGAAGACCAAGATCATTTTGGTGAGGAAAGAGGTCCTCAGGGCAAAGCTCACACAAACTAAAACCAGACTACAGGTGGAAGACTAACTTCTGATTTTGTTTTCTGTTTATTTGTTCTTTGTGGTATAACTGAGTTTGATAAATGGCATTACTTTCCTTGGTTTACAGTTATTTTATTTTGTACTTGGAAATCTCAGCTCAAGGAACCTGTTGTTCACTAGGTACCTGAACACACAGTTTATGGCCCAAGGCCCTGTGACCTTCCTGAGCAGCAGGGGAAATAAAGCTAGGCACAGAGACTTGCCTCAAGATGCAGAAATGAGATGGCACTGCATGAAATACAGCCCAGGGCTCTGGATCCTCACATGCCATCTGTGTCACTGTAGACATTGACTCACTTTTAGAGTTGTAGGTTCCAGGATGTGGAGTAGAAGGAGAAGAAACCAAGTAAGATCCCTTCCCAGGCAGAGAAGAGCCCAGATGAAGTCCTTTGAGTGCTGCTCTTGTGGGGAATGCTTTTTTAGCTTCTGTCTTGAGCATGAGCGACTTCCTTGAAACATCCCTCTCTGCCGTTCTTCTCATCCTCTGCTACCTTCACTCCTGGGCAGAGGCCGATGCTGTCTGGACGTGCGTTGTGGCAATGAGCTTCTCTCTTGGATGGAGGACTGCATGCTGCCTTTGGAGAAAGAGAGGGCCACGACTGTTGCACTCAGAAGAACTGGAATAGCTGTTTACCCACAGCAAGAAAATGTTTTTTTGGGGGCAAAAGAGAGCTGTAATGTTTTCCTGTTACAGTAGTTGGCAGCATTTCTCTATAGCCCAAACAGTTATTTCTTAATGGGATCTTTACTCATAGCTGTAAGTTTACTAGCAGGAGAGATATATATGAACAATTCTGGAATTCAAACACAATATACTGACAGACGGGGTTAAACCCTGAGAGCCTATCAGGACCAAGTGAAGGAATAGCAGAGTGGGAACGAGGACCAGGAGGCTGAACTGAGGGGATACTGGTGGCTATGTGCAGAGAAGTGTTGCATGTACAGTGATTTTCAAAGCATAGGCTATTTGGAATATATACAGTAAGGACTTGCATCTTTTTATGGGTTCATTCAGATATTTTGACTTACCAAATTTTAGTGATGGCATGGGAAAATGGGTTAGCTAAGAAAACTGCTCTTGGAGGCTGAGGTAGCTGAGTGAGCTGATCTAAGAAATGGAGGTGCATTTCATAGAAATAAATAAGAAAGTTTGATAGCAACTCAGCTCTCCTTCAGAACTGATTGTAAACCATCCCAATGACCCTGGTTTTCCTCTCCCATTATCATCTTTAACCTCCTTTGCTTTAGGGGAGTGTTAGTGGAAAGGCTTCTGAGGCTTAACCCTGGCAGAACTTGTCTTACCATGTACCTTCATTTTACAGGGGCCACACAAACCTGACTCACGAGGGAAGAATGAGCTTTTGCTTCAGGGAATGCCAGGGGGCCTCTTGTTCAGGTGGTTGCCAGTGTTTGCCTGATTTCCCTAGTCAGTTGTGAGCACTAGGTCCTTTTCTGCATATCTCCACACACACCTGCAGCGCTGCCACTTCACAAGATGATCTTCCCCAAGCCAGGCACCTACCAAATACACTCTCCCATCAGGAACGGCCATCAGCCATAAACAACAAAAGAAGACACTTGATTTTGGACATAATTTTGTTCCTTGGAGAGAATGTTGCCCATGTTGTGGCACTGGTGGCTGACGCAGCCAGGGTATAAGCTGCTGTTGTAACTATAGCCATGGTGTAGTAGGTGTTAAATCTAGTGCATGTGTTGCACTGAACACATTTGCGGGCTGGGTGCATAGCTGGATGGTAAACCAGTAAACACCTGAGGCCTAAATACCACAGGAAAACCCCTCACTTGCATGTATATCAGATGTGTTTTCCTCATGGCACCATTCTTTAACATACGGTTTTTTTCTCTGTGTTCAAAGGAGCAGAGGAATGTTTGCATCCCATCCCAAGGCAGTGGCCTGGCCCAACCTCCCACAGCATTTGGGGCAGTTTGCCGGGCACTGCAGAAGCCCACTGTGGTGCACAGCCCTCTGACTCCTGGTGGCTCAGCCCACACTGCTGGCAGAAAGGCCAGTCTTGCACTTTCCAGCTTGGCACCCCTGACCATCTCCTTGTGCCAGCCCCAGTGCCCACCCAACCATTCGACCAGCCAATTCAGCAAACTGAGCTGACTGAAAATTAATCCTACCAAAAGGGAAAAAAAGCAGGAGGGGAGGATTGTATCGAGACCAATCAGCCCCTGCCGCCACAGACCCTACAGCCAAAGGAGCACAAGAGTCAGCGGAGGGAGAGAGCTGCCTTTTGGCAGGAGCCCAGCTGTAGGTCAGCTTAGGCCAGTTGTGAAAGCACACAGCCCCTGAGCTGCTGAGAGAGCCGATGTGCTCACCGACGAATTTCGCCATGGTGAGCTTCACTGCTGGTGTTTGTGTTAGGGAGTCTGTAACCTCCTTAATGGATCCATCTACTTCCGCAATTCATGTCTGAGACCTTGAAGATTTAATGCCTATTTCCCTGAGCAAGAAAGGAGCAGATTCATACTGCTCGTGCACTGCGAATGGCCGGCAAGGGTGATTTTGCTTTATCCCAGGAGAGGAAGTGCCTCAGGGCAGGGCTCTGTCTTGTTCTTTTTCGAAGTGGGAGGCATAAATAGTTAATAGAAGAACAAAAGAGGACAGCTATGCCACGGTTTACACCAGGGAAAGTGAGAGCACAAATTAACCTTATGACTTGCCTTTTGAAGAACCACATGAAGTTTTGGACGTTTTTTCCAGCAGTGTTGCAGCAGTAGTGGTGTGAGGCTATAAGCATGGCAGAATTTATAGGAAGAGATAAGGTCTTTTACTAGACCAGCTGCCCACATTGTAGAAAGCAGACACATAAGCTCTTCTTTAGGCTTGTTTTAGATTTGAAGAACTTGTGTCTCTGAAAGCATGTTTGCCTAGGAAATAGATTGGTCTAATAAATGTCTTTTCCTCTGGTCTTGCCCCTCTGATGATTTAAGGGCACTCCTGATGCAAAAGTTTCAGCTTTTTGAAAAGGAAGCTATTTCCAGCTGGACATCCTATTCCTTATGCTGGAAATTAAGCTCTCACCCTTGAAATGTTAACTCGTACACCCACGTTTTTAAAGGCACATCAGAGGAGGAGAGCAGCACAGCCAAATACACAGGGAATTAATTCTTCTCCCTTCTCTCCCCCCTGCCAGGCCCAGCCACACGCCATCTAGTGAAGTAACAAAGAATGCTGCCAGACATATCGTGCACATGTAGGCTACATTTATCATATTAAACCATGAAACAATGCCTACTGGAGAGAGCAGGCTTTTTTTTTTTTTCAATTCAAGTTACTTGTTTTAAGATAGCTACCCTAAGGAAAGGGCCTTTCCCAGCCTTTGCTGTTATGTAAACTGGGGTATTTATCAACCACACCTGTGATGGGATTGATGTAAGCAAAAGACAAAATTTACAGAAAAATTGCTTAATACGTGTTCAGTAATCTTGAAGGGCCCTGTAAGGTAACTGTTGGCTAAAATACTTCCTGGCTTAAAGGTAGATGCTGTTTCAAAACTAACCTAATCACTGTAACTTCGGCACAGAGTGAACTGGACTCCTTGCCCCTTGAAAGCCAGACTCCTCCCGTTGATGCAGCTGCAGCCTTCGCTGAGGAGCTGAGGAATCCCTGTGTCCTTCCTGCTTCGGGCTGTCGTGCTGTAACTGCAGCCAGTGCTACAGGAAGCAATGCTGAGCACACACCCTCCCTTTGTGCTTTAGGAACCTTACAAAGGCAGCAAACACTTGTCTTTTGTCAGCAGTTAAAGCACAAAGTGTAAGACACAGAAGATTTATAGGTTTAACATCCCTGTACTGCGTGCTTGCATCTATCCTCTCTCAGATCCCATTTACTTTAATAGGGAAGTTTCTGCTAAAGCCCGGTATGATGTTTAAAATATTTA